CCTCAAGACAATGATCCAAAACACAGTAATACTGGCAGTTAAGGAGTATTTATTCATTCAAACACACATCTATCAACTTCTCCCCATGTACTAACAGCCTTATCTGAGCATCAGTTAATGTTAATGTACACAATCAAGAGATGCCTTAGTTTGCTGGACATTATACAGCAGAGAGAACAGTCAATTCAAATGGGGTTTTCAAAGGTAATGTTTAAAGAAGTGAAGAGAAACTAGGGAAAGCCTTCCTCACATGCCATTATGCAGCAAGGTCACCTTAGCATGCATTAAGGTAGCACTATAAGCCTTACTTCTGAATTACATTTTCAAGTTTGTGTCATACTCTCAAAGGTATTGAGTCAGGTTTTAATATTCCCTGATGGCAGAGACTGTGAGAGTAAACATGGACAACTTTTGCATAAATATGCATTTAAAAGCATATTACTTTCACTATTAATTTGCAGCTTCAGCACTCGACTCGACAACCTTACAGATATTATTTTTAATGGATTTATACATACAAAAAATGGGATTGTTTTGAGTGATGTACAAATCCTTTGTTTCAGACAGCTCACTATGATGAGGTTAATTACTCATCATCTGTTTTGTCTCCATTCACCTTCAGTCTCTGCGCAAGCAAATTACGGGAAAGGTCCACATCTTTCTTAAGGACCAGCAAGATCAGATGTATATAAATACTGTGACAAAAAATCCTATAATCTAACACTTTTTCTAATTATTTGATGAAGTATCTAAAATTAGTCGTCTACTTGTACGGGCCAATGTCAGCTCTATCAGCATACCCAAAAAGTGTAAATGTAGTCTTGAGTTCAGTTCTTAACCTTCAGTAAGCCACTAGATTCAGTTTAAAAGAATGGATTATTTTCTTCCACATTACTTAAGATGCAAGATCTATCTACATACACATTTAACCACGTATTATATATGCAATTAAATATTCTGTCCAATATTATGCCATCTGAATTTTCCAAAATCTGAGAAAATTAACAAGAAAGGACATCATCTTGAATTTCTTTTTCCTGAATAAAGGTGGACATCTGGTAATAATAACCTTGGTTTTGTCCAGGTTGGATTTATATGGAAGTATCTGAGGAAACATAAAAAACTGGTACCATGAGAATCTTCCCACTTACATTGATCTAATAAAATTCAGAAAAGTTTGTCTGCTTTGTGGCCCTGAATTCACAATTCAGATGATGACCTGGAGCTGAGAATTGGTGTTCTTGCCCATCTCACCCATCTTAACCACATTAACACTAGATTAAGAAAACTTCTTCCCATTTGAACATTTCTGGGTAACATTTCAGGATTTCGGTCATGTTACAGGGTGTACAAAAACAGAACAAAATGTTCAGTAGCCATACTGCAATGCTTAACAAGTTCATTAGCACTGAGTTGAGGTGATATAGAGCCCTAAGAGTACCAGCGCACCCCAGACTCCCTGAAAGGCCACAATTCTTAATTATAACATGATTTTGCTCAGCTGGAAGCACCCAGGAGAAGACAGCAGTCCTGGTTCAGGGTCAAGCACCTCAAGCTGTGCACTCTTTTGGCACACACACAAGGTGGTAATGCCCCTCCCTACTCAGAAGTGCTCTCGCGGGTTTCTTTCATGCTTCCTTTCTTTGCACAGCATCAAGAGCAAAGGTCTGGCTGGAAAGCTGTTGTAGGTTACCTCCTGGTATCTTGGCCTGCACTGAGTGGAAAATCACTCAGACCCCCTCAGACTGGAGGAAATCTCCATCATCTTTCAGCTCCAATCTGTCCACACTCTTCCAGAGTGAGCACCAGATTGATCCAGTTAATTTCCCCGAGGTTTTGGCAGCACTGTGAACTGAAGTCAAATACACTTTAGCACCATTATTTTAACTCTAAGTTTTCTTCGCTTGGTGTTCATGGAGGCTGTGGTGAGTGCATCAGGCCTCAGCATTCTCCCTCAGCTGTTACAACAGCTGCAACCTCACATTTGTCATAAAAAAAATGTTGCCTTGTCTTCCAAACTCATACATGCCATCAGTCAGCAACTGCTGAACACAGAGCTAGCATCTGGGGGTTCTTCATATGACTGAAGACACTGCAGAAAGGGCATACCAGCATCCACTGACGTGGCACTGGCAGTCAGCATCACATGAAACAGTGCAAGCGGAGGGTATAAAGTCCCAGCTTAGTCATGCATATAAGTGCCCAATTTCCTCCATATACTAATTGTACACACCTTACCAATTTTCCACGTTGATATTAAAAAAGCTGGACTGCGTGTGATACGAAACGAACATTAACTTGCACATGTTCTGCTCTCTGCTCATTCCTCATATATGTATACCATAGCATTTCTCCATGGCTTCTAAATCTGCTTCCCTTGTCTAACTCATTTTTTCAGTGGTTCCTGTACTTGCCTCTCCCACTTCTTTCTCTAGGATATAAGGAACTAAGCAATAAACAAAGAGACACAACACAACATTGCCTCAGAGCTGCATGCTATGATAAATCCATACCTTAAGGCTCTGTTGAAGAAACAACTCTCCAACAGGCCAGTTCCTAGAGAGATCACATTCTGCATGGTACTGAGACACTTCTTACATATACACACTGTAATCACATGAGTGTGAAACAGGGAAACCACTGATAGAAGCAGCCTGGGCCTTATGCGCCAGGCTGTGCTTGGTCTTACAAGCCATTACTGTGTAGTTTGCCTGTAGATGCAGAGCACCTCCTTAGGTGCGCAGGGACTTTGGGTATAGACAGAAGCATCTAAAATTGTGAATTTCAATCATTAAATGCCACTCTGGGTCTAAAATCTACTGAGCTAGCCCGTATATTAACACAAAAAGATACATAGTAAGAGTGGTACAACAACTGCAAGGAGTTAAAATGCAAAGCCTCCCCTTTTTTAAAATATGTGTATTGTAAGCAATTTATTCCAAGCAGCCTTGCTTTTCTAAAAACATGGTTCTACTTAGGGTTTGTCTTCATTTTCTGCCTTGCCTCCAATCTGCAGTGTACAGAACCAATTTTTATTTCCGGACTCCACACCTTTGATGTTAACTCTTCCCTATCTGTCTTATGAATCTTAGAACTGAAAGCCAACCATCACGACTCAAACTAGAAGCACAATCTAGTTAACTGTGCAAGTCAGTGTATAGCCAGTATTCCTTTTAACCAGCCTCTCTGAAGAGTTTGCTCTCTTGAGAAAAGAAAACACAAAGAAACACTAGGAAAGAAGATCTAGCTTCTACCTCATATCACTAATCATATGCCTAACTGTACCTGAATGATTTTATAACGTAGTGCTTTAAGAACCACAAAGCATCTGAAAGCCTTGCAGGAGCCCACTCACCAGAGGACATCATTGACACACCTGTTACACAACCCTGTTTTTTCCCCCTGTTCATCTCTCCACAGCAGTTATAAGAGGCAGACAAAGCACTCTTATCTTTTTTTACAGCAGTGTCACAGTGCTGATAACAAAGTACACCCAAAGACAATCGAGCAGCCACGCCATCTTCAAGTGGCGGATGTAATTTCTCGTAATGTTACTGTACTTAGTAACATGTAATAAATTTCACAACCATGCCTCCATGGAATTTATTGTCAAATTTTGCTTATTTTTGCTGGCACAGCAAGCAATTCTTGTCTGTGCATACTGGAATCTACAAAACCACCTGGCAGTCCAATATGCAAAGCCATACAAAGCAATAGCCCTACTGCATGGGTAGCAAGTTACCATATTATAGGATAACTGGAATGTAGAGTAACGCCACACAGTTTTTATAAGGCCACAGCAAGAGATAAAAGGACACAATAGGTCACGGAAAAGCAAAACACCTTTTCTAAAAATTGACTGCAAGCTTACTGCAAGCTTAGTCAACAGCATGGAATTGTTGGTAAAGCCCAGCAGGGATGTCACAAAATGGACAGACAATATCTGAAATCACAGCTCCTCTCCTCCTCCTTTTTTTTTTTTTTTAAAGAAGGCAGATACAGCACTGAGACTCTGACAGACTCCCTGTGAATGATTTAATCCTGCTCCTCTCACGTTACTTTATTTCTGAGTATGAAAAAGAAATGATAAAAATGCCATCGAGTCACAGAGCAACCTTTCAATGCCACTTTGCACTACTGGTGTAACTTAATCACAGCCTACAAGACAGATCAACAAGTTTGATCCCTTGGTGTCAGTCACTCCTTTTTCTTTTTCATTTTAACTTGGCTGAACTAAAATAAACAACAACAAAAACCCTCCACGCTGGTGTAACAACTTGTACAGAGCAGAGACAGAACAGACTCGATGGCAAATTGTGCTCTCTAGTGGAGAAATGTGATTCTGTGCAGTAAAGTTGCAAGCCATGCTGATTCATCCACCTGACCAACAGATCTTCAGTGCGGAGAAAAATACCAAGAAATTCACAGTATGAAAGGAGTGCAGTGCCTCTTTCAACAGATTTATTATGGCCTAGTTTGGCCTGTGTTACATGAGAGACTACAGCTAAATATGCTTCTAATTATACAACAAAGAAAATGCCTGAGACATGCTTTCATGTTTGTTTACATTTAAAAAATAATGGCACCTTTAATGCAATAGCAAAACATTTCCTTTAATAACAGGCCTACTGAGTTTACTTGTATATGGCCCTTGTTAATATTGTACGGTGTGATGAAGATGAGTTTTGTACCAGATAGCACTGCTTGGTTTATAGAATGAAGACTGGAATTTTCCTACAGGTAAGTGTAATAACAAGATTATCTGTCCATGTATTTTCAGCCATGAGAACTGACATGATCCCCAACCTCTTTACTTCTAGTCATGCATACACTGCACCTTTATCTTAAAAATATACAGAATGGGTCTTCAGGAAGCACTAATTCTCCTCTGGCGTGTTATCCTCCAGCATTAAGAACATACAACCCATTTTCTTCATCACAGCTCTCCTCTCCCTGCTCTTTCTGTATAAGTACAGACTAATGAATACACAAATTCAATGTAATAGCAGATCAGTTAGAATTTATTTTAAAAAATAACTTGACCACTTTATGCTTTCTCAACAGTATACAGAATTTTGCTTCTTTGAACTCTGCATCCTAACTAGGCTGTTGGAATAAGTCTGAGGATAGAAGTCAGAAATATGAAAGTGTTTAAAAAGTGTTAACATTTATGGTTAACAAGGTGATTTTAAATAGTATTAAAATATCACATGCATTCTAGTTCAAAAGTAAGGATGTAGCAAGACATGGACATTAAAATTCTTTTTGATGTGGTTAAATGTGACCATCAGCTGTTGACTATTAAGGAAAGTATCATTCTCTTCCTCTTTAGTCCTTGAAGATGAAATATGGGAAGGAAGCATGGGGAAAAAGTTTCTTTTGGGAACACACACAGAAACACAGAACTACCTTTCATGTTCTGACTTCCCTAATACACTGTATTACATGCTTTGCAGAGCAGAACTTCAGCAAAGCCAAGCATTCAGATTTAAGAAGTATCATAAGCCATACTTGTTAAAAATCTCCCTTGCAAGAAAATCCAGCTGGCAAATACTTTATTTTTAATGAAAAAGGTTGATGACTGATCTTATGCCTAGAGCAAGAAGGGAAGAGTCCCAGTAACTTACAGTTTTACTGGTGAGGATTTTGCAGAAATTTAAACAGTTGTACTTAGTTAATCCTACGAGAGCAAGCAAATTTCCACAGTCTCTACACCAATACTCACTCATAATTTTGTCAGAGAGCAGTGGTCAGCGACTGGATAAGAGAGAAATCTAGCTCTATTTCAGTAGTTTTAGCATATCACTTAAAAGGAAGATTAATAAGAACTACGTGAAAAACTGTAGTTTGGGTATGTCTAAATATCTGCATTTATGAAGTGCTGGAAGTCTGTAATAGGCAGTTTCCATTTAATATTCTCTTGTCTCTGTCACTTAAACCATACTTTAAGTAAAAACCACGTATAAGAAATACTTCATCTGAGGGAAAAATGTTGAAACTAAGAAGGCAGAATCTGGAGATACCTCTTCAAGATCCATAAAGCTATTGCTATAGGTAGGTTACAATGGAAAGTGATCTTAGAGTAGGCTTTGTTTAAAATTCAATAGGGGTTGTGCAAAATTAACATGCAGATGTGAGCATACTGTTATTAGCATTGTTGCATCAACACCCATCAGTTACACTATGGAGGAGAGCAGCTGAGAGAAATACTTGTTTTCCTGAGTGGGTTGGTCTGCAAAACTTGCATTTTTACAAAAGCTTTATCACAGAAGGCAGAAGTTTCACTGGTTTTTGCAGACTAAACTAGAGTTTGTTCACTATAAAAAGCCTTGGAGAAATAAAACAAAGAAACAAACAAAACAAAAACCCAAATTACTGCTCAGTAGAATTATGCCTCAGGTTATAAACCATCCAAAAATTAGCTCAAAAGTTGTATTGCAGGCTACCTAGCCTGCATCCTATCTAGAAATTCAATTTATCCCACATAAGAAGTGCAAACATCTTGTCTTTCAAATAAAATCAATCTCGGCATTTCTTGAAGAGAAAAACAAACCAAAACCCCAGCCGATTTAAACTGCCTTCCTATCCCCTCCTACAAGACAACTTTGAGGTTTTTGGGACACAGCTAAGAAGTCATCCACAGTGACAAACTACAGTTGCTATTAAAGCATTGCCATCACAGAACACTTTAAGGATAATTTCCAGTAACTCCTTCAGAAGCTAATGTGCAAAGAATGCAAAAGCTCGCACTGACCTATTATAACTTAAGTACTTGCTATACTCCATGATAAAGAGGTTTTAGTGAATCTGAAAGCACAGTCCAGAAGACTTTTGTAAGACAGAGCAGATGTCAGCCTTCTTTCAATTTCCTATAACTCAGCAGCTGTAGAAGTGCCATTTGTGTAGCCACCTTTAGACTTCATGTGGTCCTGAATTGATACAGCCTAGGAAAAAAAGAAAAAAGAAAAGAAGGTCTAGAGTTAAAACATTCATCTTATAAAGTCTGGTTGTCAGAGCAATTTTTAGAAGCATTAATTTAATTAATTAATTTTGCTCTGGGCAGCCTGGTCTAGTGGTTGGTGACCCTGCCCGTGGCAGGGAGGCCTAACCTAGATGATCACTATGGTCCTTTTCAACACAGGCTATTCTATTATTCTATGATAAAGAGGCAGATGAGCCATTTGTTTACAGTGCTGGGTTCCAACAGTAATGGGGAGAAGAAGCAACTAAACCCAGAACTTTCAAATATTACTGTAAGTCAGTGCACGAAATAGGTCTCACTGTCCCAAATTCAACTACTCTCACATCCCTCATCCTTACACAGCTTTAGCTACCGATGTGAAATCTGGACCTGCCAAGTGCTTCCACAGAATCATTATCCCAGCAGGCTCCTATCAGACACAATGACACAGGGGAATACAGATTCTCTTGCTGAACATATCCTCCCATAGTGCTGAACATGTACAAACCAAGGGACAATGCTGTTTTTTCCTCTCATACTGTTATCTAGCATTTTAGCATCTACCAGTTCTACAGGCTGCTGAACTGAGATCTCTGCTTACCCAAGAATGCGCACTTACTGATGAAAAGTCACTACTCATCTCTCTTATCCCCACATGTGCATTGTGAACAAAGTTCATTGGTTCTCCTATCATGTTCCGGTCCAATCGCTGACGCCTCTTCTGTGAGAAAGAAGATATCTCATGTTTCTAACTCACAAAATATGAGGAAGTTTTCAGGCAGAAACAAGCAGCCAGTTAAAAAACAACAACAAAATCAGTGCTGTCCCCCTTAAATGACTCCTTATGGCAATGTAGCAGAAGTTTTTGGCTGCTCACAGTAGGGGAGGCTCAAACTCACCTTTATTACCACTGTTTGATATTCAGCAAAAGGTTGGGAAAGTCATTCCCCTTCATGCAGGGGCTCAGACTACAAGCAGTCACATAGACAAAGCTTCTGGCTAAAATACAAGCAGTTCAAACACAGTATAACACATCCATTTTTAGCAATTACATTACTTATCTCGTTTAATCGAGAGAACATGACAATGACAGCGTTTTCCATATAACCAAAAGACAAAATTATGAATCAGTAAATCAGAAAAGAGATGACAGCTGTGCATCTACATACCGGCTGGGGCTGCTCACTGTTGCACCAGTTAAAACAAACCAGGAACTCAGTCATTGTATCTTTTCAGTAGGTGGTAAGGTCTTGTTATTAAATTATTTCTCTGAAGTGAGTTTAGGAAGGAATCGCTTCTGTAGATCCACAGGTAAAGATCACACACAGTACCTGACAGATATACCTGGAAAAAGTTTACTGTTTAATTTATATGAAAATGCAGAAGCTTTGTAGGAGTTATTGAGATATAAACATTTCAGCAAGACTAAAACAAGAGCGTAAGAGAATTGGTTTAAACATATCTGTACAGAAGAGTGGGGTCAGTTTAAAGATCAGTATGTTCATATCAGAAATCAGCACTGGGAGGTGCATGTTTATTCCCAGACAGTAGAATATATTCCAGTTTCTTGACAGAAGTGTAATTACAGCAACGCAAGAATTACATCAAGTCCCCTTCAACAGTTGATGGCCCTGTGCAGGTAGAGCTTGCCAAAGCTGCTCAGCTCTTTCAGTGTTTCCAGAGATAATATCCTGAAGAAACAACAGATTGAATGCTTAAGCTTTATGAACAGTTGCAAAAGAAAGTCTTCTTTCATCTTCTGTAGTAAAGAGAACCCCAAAAAGCCCTTAGACCACACACACACACACACACAAAATATAGCTCTTTATATCAGCAACAAACCTGCTAATGAGACAAAGCCTAGAGCTTCCCAGAACACAGAACTGTTAACACAGCAGTCCTAAGCCAGAGGCACAAACAGGAAACCTCCCTGGCTGTATGCACCCTAAAGCTGCGATAAAACCCAACTTCCTAGGTTTAGGGATTCATAAGCTTCTTCAAATAAAAATCAGGGCTCTGGAGGAGGCTTTCATAACAACCTTTTCATATTCCAGATTATTAAAGCAAGATAGTAACAGGTTAATCTATTTAAAAGTTTTTTAAAAGGCTTACAGCTTAACAGAATTTGCAACATCATAAATGCAGCCATTCTCAGTCAACACTGAAGTCTCCACAAATTGTGCAAACTCCCCCTTCACAAGCATCTCTTGTACAGTCCCAGTGGTGTGATTAGCACTTCTATGTCCCAGTAGTGTGATTAGCACTTCTATTTCTTTCACCCCTGGAGTCTTCCCTCACCTCCTCACTTCTCACTCTTCAAGCAGATTTTTAAGATTTCTGTCATTTATCTTCCAGAGCTTTTGCTACATTTGCCTTGTAGCTATAGGTGCCCTATATGATACATTATTGCAGAATGCAAAGCTTCCATTTTATACTGGATGGTTTTAATACAACTCATTCTCTGGCTAAATTACCATATATCAGTCACTTGTTCCTCTCACCCAGGCCATTTTCACTGCTGTGTGAGCACAGCAAAGGCACCGCGGCCCCACAGGAGGATGCAGAAATCAAAGCTGTTGCCTACACTTTGCATTAGTCAAAGACTGTTTGGGTTTATTTCGTGTTAAGGAGGCCATCAAATCTACAGTCTTCTTAAAAATCACACAGCATGTCTGTACACCAATAACCTACTCTGAAATCAGGCTTACTGAGAGTTTATCAGCATCAAATCAGATGGGGGCACGTCCCCAGCCCCCCCTGCAGTTGCAGCATAGCCCTGCCGTCAGCCCCATGCTCGCTGCATACCTGTGCCCTGCTTGTCCTCCTTCAAGTGCTGTATGCAGCCAGCTCCTGGCTTGGTGGCCCCGGCGCAGTTGCAGCTTGTGTCCCTGGCCTGCAATCCTGATGGCTAAAAGGGCTTTTTTCAGTGCTGCTCCATGCCCTCTTCACTTCAGCACTTGCTGCAGAAGTCTGTGTTGCAGCGTGCTTCAGACTCACTACAGGTGTCAGAAAAGGGAATGGGAGCCAGAACAGCACTGTGGTTTGGCAGGAGATTCGTGCAGCAGCGCAGCTCCCTCAGCACTACCATGCAGCCTGTGGCTCACTTCCACGCCTGCGGCAGCTCTGCAGGTGTCATCCCAGCAAACCGCAGCACCGCACGCCTTCCTGTTGTGCTTGACAGCTGAGCTCCTCTTTTCCTCTGCACGGGTCAGAGGGTCATCCTCCAGAGCAGGAACGTCCACATGCAGACACGGGGCACCACCTTCCTCCCAGGGACTCAAGTTTTCCACAGTAACTGCAAGAATTTAAAAACACATCTTCACGCATTCGGGCGCACCGATGAGTAATAAAAGCCAACCAGAATCCCGAAAACGCAGAGAAAACAACATTTTGTCACTGTTGGCACAGGGGCCAGAACCAGACAATATCCTGTTGTTCTTTCCCTCTATTTTTCCCCACAGCAGCACTATCGTCAAGAAGAGAGAGACAAAGGGCCGGGGGAACGGCTAGCACGCGCAGACACAGATGCTGAATGCGAGGGGCAGGGCATGGCCGTGCTGAGCCCACAGTGCCTGAATTCCAGATCCCCTCTACTGAGCGTAACATGCAGTTTGCCCTATCACAGCTCCATACTATTGCTCAGTTATTACTCCCAAGGCATTACCGTCCCCCAATGGCCGTATGCTCGATATCTGAGTGGTGAGGTGTGGCAGGAGGCAGCACCTCATGCTTCTATACCAAAAAACGGGCTTTGGACACGATAAGAAACTTGAAGGGCGCAGCAAAATTATTCTGCTTGGTGAACAAGAAGATTTAGAACAGAAATAAGAGCAAGAAACCACACTGTGGAAGAACCTCAGAGCCCAACAGACGAGGCTTACAGACGTGGTTTGGAATCAGCCCCCGAGCTCTGCAACAGCACCGCACGGCCCGGTGCCGCGCCGGCCTCCCGCAACTGCCACCCACAGACCGGGCACGGAGGCTCCGTCCGGGGCTCCCTGAGCGCCGCTGCTGGGACCGCCAGCCCGAGGCCTTGCGCCCGCCGCAAAGCGGAGACGAGTCGCGCCACCAAACCGGCACCGGCACCGGCACGGCTACCCGGCAGGGCCCGGCGCCGCCAGCCACGCCCGCCTGAGCTCAGCTCGGGCCTCGAGGGCGGCCGTGACCTTGACCGGAGCGGATGGCGGCGCAGCTCCCGCAGAGGACAGGAGGGCCGCACGGCAGCGGCCTCGCGGCGCGGCCCCGCACTGCCGCGCTTCGCCCCCACCCCATCCCGCCGGGCGCTACAGCGGCGCCTCATGGCGGCCCGGCGGTGCCAGCTCGCCCATCGCTGCCCGCAGCGCGGCCGTCGGCGCCACCGGACCGAACCACCAGAGCGCGGGAGGGAAGCGCGCGGCCTCCACACCGCAACACTGCGCCTCAACACCACAACACTGCGCCTCCGCGCGCCGCCGCGCGGCCTGCACCCCCTCCCCCCGCCGCCTCACGGGCGCTGTAGCGCTGCCGCTGGGGCAACGCCCACCCTCGGCTCTACGGCCAATAAGCGCCACCCAGCGGCCGCGCTGCGGCCCTATCGGGCGCGAGGCGAGCTCGGCCTACCCAATGAGCGCCAGGCGCACGGCGTCGCTAGCTCACCATTGGCCGCGGCGGGGCGGCGGCCGCCCAATAGGCGCGCAGCAGCGCAGGGAAGCCCCATGCAGCGGGTGCCGGCCTCCCTTTGCGGAGCGCTCCGGCGCGGCGCGCACCGGCCCTGCTGCTCCCTGCTCCTCCGGCCATGGCGCTGCCCAGCAGTTGACGTTGGGCTTCTCCCCTTTCATCTCCTCTCTCTCTCTCTCCCATCCCTCTCCTCCCCGGGTCCCGGCTCAGGCACGTAGGCGGCCGCTACCGGCGACCCCGAATCCCCGGTCCCGTCCTCCCTTCCTACCCCTTCCTCCCCCGGAACAGGCTGTAGGAGTCGGGCCGGGCGGCTGTTGGCCGCGCCATGAACGTCATCATCGGCATCGGCGGGTGAGCGCGGCGGACGGGCGCTCCCTCGTGCCGCAGTGCGCGGGATGCGGCGGGGGGGGGGGGGGAGGGCTGAAAGGCGCCGCCTGGTTCTGCGGGCGGCCGCGCGCACGTGGCCCAAGGGGCGCCGCCCCGGCCCGGCGGTGACGGCCTGCGCTCCCTCTCAGAGTCACCAACGGGGGCAAGACCACCCTCACCCGCAGGCTGACGCAGGCCCTGCCCAACTGCAGCGTGGTGCACCAGGACGACTTCTTCAAGGTGAGCGTGTTCGCGGCCGGCTGGGCGGTCAGAACAGCGGCTGCGTTATCGTTCCTCGTTCCCGGCGCCCGTTATCTGCGCGCAGAGACCGCGGCGGGGCTGGGGCGCCCTCCAAATTCCGCTCTGCGTTTCTGCTTTGTGATGGCGCCGCTCCCGGCAGCTGCCCCGACCAAACGGTTTTTTCTTATTGCTGTTTCAGCCTCAAGATGAAATAGAAGTTGAAGGTGGCTTTAAGCAGTATGATGGTAAGGTCTCTCTCCAGCGTCATTGAACAGTGTAACTCCAACATAATACTTCCTGGTGCTGAGTGATACCAGCTGGTGCTCAGTTACTGGCTAACGATAGTGTTCTGTCTCAGTGATCAGCGCGTTAGATATGGAGGCGATGATGAGTACCATAAATGCTTGGATAAAGAACCCAGTCAAGTTTGAACGCTCCCATGGGATCAACAACACACTGGATGCCCAGATCTCACCAGACAGGGAGGGAGGAGATGAAGCAATCCACATCCTTATTATCGAGGGCTTCCTGCTTTACACCTACAGGTACATGCAGTACAACTTCATGTGTTTTGACCTTACATAATACTAACGGTGCCAGTATTGACTGATGTGAGTTCAGCTGTCACAGGCCTGAAGCATGCGCCAGCCAGAAGAGACAGGCATAGATTTCCCTTTCTGTTCCTTGGTACAGGCAAGCTGTAACCCAGCACACATCTCTTTCAGGCCCCTGATTGATGTATTCCACCATCGGTACTTTCTTTCCATTCCATATGAGGAGTGTAAAAGGAGAAGAAGGTGAGTTTCTTTGTAAATTCCTCTGTTAGCTCAGTAACATCTTCAGCAGCTCAAGACTTGGTTTCTCCTTAAAGCTTTTTTTTTCCTTTGATAGGCTAAATATTAACCTAGTTACTATGTTGAAAAAACAGAGTTCTTTCCAGCAACCAAACCCTACAGGTTTTTAATCAGGCTATTGTGGACAGACAACTATTTCACCCAAACTTCTCCTAAACTTGCAGCAGAAGACTACTCATGAATACCCCCATCAGTCATTTAGGAATCACTTGCACACTTCAAACAATCACATTTCAACTTTTTTAGCACCTCTGCATGCTGCTGGTAGCACTGTTGATAAGGTTAAAACTACACTGAATGAAATACATTCAAGATAAGGTGTAGAAAAACTGAGTGTACATTACATAATTTGCCTGAACTTTAATTAGACTACACTTGAATAACACTGTATTAATTTATAGTTCAAGAAATTACACTGTACCTGATCCACCCGGATTGTTTGATGGCCACGTTTGGCCTATGTATGTAAAGCACAGGAAGATAATGGAAGATCTTGGTGTTGACGTGGGTAAGTCTTTAATAACTGAAGCACTTTTATAAGGCTGTAAGGCTGTTAAAGAAAAAGCTTTTAAAGTCTATATATATTATATATATAGACTTTATATATAGACTATATATCTATCTATCTATCTATATATAGATATAGATATAGATATGAAACTGTTAGATGGAGTATGTTTTTTCCAGTAAGGCAAATGCATGCTCTTCAAATTAGAATCTGACAGGGTTAGAGAAGCATAATTCTATTATAGCTCTCATTTTACATTCTTATTTTAAGTGCACTTGAATGGAACAAAATCCAAGGAAGAACTGTTTAATGAGGTATATGGACAGATCCAAAATAAGATTGAAGAATTACTTAACGTGCAGGTATGTCTTCATGCTTCTAAATGGAACTCCAGAGCAAACCTGTTAAAGGCTATGTTGAAAAAGCATGAAGCTGGAACTTGAAATGTATTCATGTTTTTTTTTTGTTTAGAAATAAGCTTCTACTGATTCTTGTGACTGAAGATGACTCCTGTTTGCTCTGTGCTGTCTACCTGACTGCCACTGAAGTTCCAGCTTCTGTGAAGACTCAACTCCTGAATTTGGCTTCATTGAGTTTTCTCCTGAAACTGAGTTACATATGGTCATTAAAAAGCATTTCCCCCTCAGCTGTCATCTTAATTTGTGCTTGAGCCTAGTAGCTGGCCTCATGTGCTTTAAGTCATCACCATCTAGTCTTCTGTAAATCTATTTGCATGTACTTAAATTATAATAGTAAAGCACATAACAGAACTGATGTTAGGTGGCACAGCTCTGCTAATACGCCTACACTACATCATTGTTCACTATACATCAAACACAAAGCTTTTCACTTAGAAAATACATGAGACTTTTATGAAAAATACAAGTGTGAGAAAAGCTGAATAACACAACTGCTTTCAAGTCATGTCTGACAGAAAGTGTTGGGGCTTCAGCTGATGTTAATAGCAGTGGGAAAGCTGCCAGCTATTTCCCTTTAGTAACGTGCTCTGATTTCTATAATCCTGGAGTTTGGCAGGAAGTATGCTTCTTTGTGAAGAAATTAAGATGGAGTATGCACTTCAAAAATCAGAACAAGAGCTGGTCAGAATGTTTTACTAGCATTATTTTACTAAGTGCACGTTTAGATAATGGAAGCAAGGAATTTGAGCTACAGTCACAGAAAATCTCTTACATACAAAACTGATTTAAGGGCATTGATTACTGTAGGAAGTTTCAGTAGTGGCTTGCAGCTGAAGGAAGCTCACGCTTGAGTTGAAACTGCTATCTACATACAGAATTAATTTAAGGCTTCAGATCACATGGAAGAAAGTAGTAAGGCTTAATCCCTAGGAGGCAGAAAGTTAAAGTTTGGGACAAAAACTTGATTAAAAAAGTCTGTCTATTGTGGAGGTGTCCAAAAGGAAGTATACGTACTCATCCAGCACGAGGCCAGTCTTATTTCAAGAACTTGAGCTGAGAACCAACATTTACTTCAAGCCTAGATGCATCAGCTTTCTGATAGGAGCTGGTCCTCCCCAGTATCCCCTGGAAAAGAAGAGTTGTTTCATCAAGTCAAAGACATTTATCTGCACGCATTATCAGTGTGAAGAAGGATTTTTTTTTTTTACTCTCATATGATACTTCTATTTACTAAGATGAAGTGCTAGATATATTCTATTCTTATATTAAATATTCTAGCACAAAATCCTATCAGCAGCAAAGTACCCAGAACACTCAACAAGTTGAGTACGTAATGATGACTAAGCATACACTTCAGTTGCTAGATTTGCAGGATAAGTTCAACACCTTCTGTTCTTTTGAAGAATTGTAAGCCAGAACAGATACCTGGCTTTGCCTTGAAAAAAAAAAAAAAAAATCACAGCAGCCATGCCTGCCCTGACTTAAAATACTTACTTGAGTAACGCATTCCAATAGAGAAAGGGCATCATATCAGCTTTCATATGGTACATTGTTGTTCTCTGTTTACTTTGGTCAATGGGAAAGGTCTCCAAAGGCTGAGCATCGTAGTCAAATTCTGCTAGAATCACCTTGTTATAGCTTGTTACTAGTGGGCAGGAAGTATATCCATCATACTGCAACAGAATACACCCTTCTCATTAATCTGATTAAAGGCCAAATGCTGAAGTATTGCAAGCTATAACATTCTTATATCTAACGTTCTTATCTCAAAATAAGTTTCTAGGTTTCTGCATTTATAGTGTTAATATTAAGTTTAAAACGCTGCCAGTTTGGGCCAGTGATCATAACTATTTTCTTTCAGTGGCAGATCACAGATTGGCATTGTAACTGCTTGGAGGCTACCTAAACAACTGCCTAAAGGGCTTTGTGTCATTAATTGCTGGCTATTATTGTGACCAATAGAACGGGTGACAACAGCAGAGAATGAGAGCTAATGCTGTCTTAACAGACAGCATATAAACCATCTCAAATATAATTGTAAGAATTTGCAGGGGATCAAAGCAGAAACAGACTGAAACTCAGGTGAGTACTCCAGGAATATTAACTGAGAAGCCATGCATAAAATGAGAGCTAGGTCTCAAAGAGAAGTTTGAACAAAGTCACAAGCTTAAGAGCTTCTGTAGTACAAAAACATCAATGTAACTCCTTAGAAGATAGCTTCCTGTACAGGGGAGACAAGTTGCAGATAGCATAGATGCGTGAAGTTTGTGAGGGTTTTCTTAGAATAGGGGTTAGAGTAGCCTACACTAAAAATCCACCTTGAAGAACCCAACCTAATAGCCTTCCACCTTCTTTTAACTCATTAAGACTTAAATAGAAGTTTCTGAAGAAATTGTGTATAATTGTGCCAATTACTACTATAGTAGTACTACAATTACTTATTAAAGCTGTTATTATGATATACAGTAAGAAGCTATTTAACACCTCCACTGCTGACACAAAGCCCTTTCTATCTTCAGTTCATGTAGTTTAACTGCTTGTCTTGGCAGAACTTCCTGCGTATAACATTGCCACTAAAACAAGGTCTGTAGGTACCTTTTTAGTTGGTGACTGGTTCTTCATTACCAGAGAAATAGTTTTATCAAGCACTCCAGATTGGGCAGCTACATGACAGGAAATAGAAAAAAATATATATAAATACTTCATATTTTTTTAATATATATAAATATCGTAAGACTTTGCTTTAGACAGCAATTACTGTCATTACTGGAGCAAACAGTAGTAACAGTGTATTTAGTGGATAATTCAACTGTATCTGAACTTGTGTCAAATCAGCTTGGGAACTTTACAGACTAAGACAGGGAAGGGGCTGGGGGGAAGAAATCATATTTGAAATAATGCTTTGGCCCCATTGTTTCCAACATGCAAAGGTTTGACAGAGCTTGAACTGCATGTTTTTAGCCTATGTCTATTCTCCTATGCTAAATTACACTTGTTTGGTCTTCCCAAACATTTTAGACTCCAGCACTGAAGTTTTGCTTGCTCTCTTTCATTTTTAATGCTGCAAGGGAAGTTCCAGACTAATGCTGCAATAGTTATCTATATAATTCTTCTTGTTAGACTAATAATATACTGTATGGCCTTTTTTTCCCACTCTCAGATTTATCTTTTTATTTTTTAATTATGATATCATGTAGCTGGAGTATTTTCATAATGGACCCTGTGGCTATAAGTACAGAACACACACGAGTCTTCAGCAGTAACTTATCAGCTGACATGTGTGAGCTTCTAAGATAGAGAGAAAGACTTGCTACTCTTGCATCCTTCCAAAATTCAGTAACAACTTCATTTTACACCATTCTGAGAACACATAAAATAGAACTAGTCCAACTGTGAAGTATTTGGAATAAGAAAATGGAGAATTGATGGCATCAGTATAATCACTAGCTAGTTAGTCAGTCCAAGGAACTGCAGTCTTTCTGAAAGATGGAAAAAAAATACCGAGTTAAGAGCTCAAGAGTAACAAACTAAACTGTGTCTTGTTTAAAAGCTTACTGTCACTGCTACACTTTCCATCACACTAACATATAAACACACAGACACCTTTACCTACAGCCGCAGCAGTTCTTGATGTTGGAAGGTTGGTGCAATCTCCAATACCAAAAATATTAGGATACTTCTTATGTTGCAGAGTTTCCTTATTTACATCTACCCAGCCGATTTCATCAGAGACAGGGCTGTTGATAAGCACATCAGGTGGCCCCATTGGGGGTGTGACATGAAGCATTTCATACTAGACAGAAAGAAAAAGTACTAAATGGCTAATTGATAAGAACAGATCATACTATACTGATGTTAGGATATAAGAACAATATAAAAACTTTTTTTTTTTTTTGTTTTAAAACAAGCATGTAGAGTGAAAATTTGCTTTTGAATAGATGCATTTGTTCCAAGTTCTTTATTAACAGGAACCTCATTAGCTGCCATATATAAAGCATGTAAGCTGCCATAACAGCAGTTTGCTTTCCTCCTTATATGCCTGAGACATTCCCAAGTTACACAACAAGGTACACAGAGCTCCAGGCATGCTTTGTTACCTCCACCCCACTTCCCCCACCCCTTCTCTCTACCTTACTTTCAAGCTTTTCAATCTTTGAAAATCGAGGATGGTACTAAAAGGACAAAGTAGCAGTTTACAACGGAGCAACAGATATTATGTTATTATAATGCAGTTATGTTACTGCACATACAAAGAGAAAGGATCGAACTAAAGACCTGAAATCTAACCTCATGAACTTCAGTCTCTCCAGGTTTGTCCAGGTTTTCAAACACAGCTTCCTGCTTGTCTGCTCGAACTTCAACAAGGTTGCACTTATAGTTAACAGCAATATTCCTCTCCTCTATTATTTCAAGCAATGCATCAGCATATTTCTTAACACCAAAAATGACACCAAGTGAAGTGTTGAACATTATGTTTGCTTTGGGTCGTTTTCCTGTCTGCATGGAAAGATCAAATTATTAAGTCTGATAAGCTAGCAGAAACAAGAGAATTATGCCACACTACGGAGTTGACAGAACTATTAGTGCATTTTGGTGCTTATTGCAGCATTAACATTAGAACTCTTGAGAAACAGCTTATTTCACAGCATGTTAGACAAGATACATCCTTGTACTTTGATATTTTTGATGTCTCACCTGTTCAGAATGAGATACTGAAGATTCATACAGATTGCTAGTGAGAAGAGGCGGCTGCAATATGCTGAACAACACTACTGCATAAAGGTTAAATACAATAGCTTAGCACTACACAGCACTCTGAAACCATCAGTTCCATGCATTATTCAGATATTCACTCAGTAGACAGCTCACGAAATTTAAAGCATGCATGAAGTCTGACACTTTCACTTGTAACTGGCTTCTGTTTGCACTAAATTCACTTTCGCAGCCCAGCAAAAACCTCTCCTGTCACTGAGACTGTGCCAGGAGGAGTGAGGATAATCACTTCTCAGATGAGCAGAAAGACAATCCACATCAACTATTAACTACTTAAAGGAACAAGAACGAATGCTCAGCCAATGTGATTTCAGTGTTCCACCTGAAGTTGTAAACGAGGCTGAGAACATTTGTATTGGTAGGTTTTTCTAAGCAGGTTAAGCAGTTCATCCCTTATGAATTCTGAAAGCTACTCCAGAAATTACTAAGATACTTATGCATAATTCAGTTAGCTTCATTTAGTACACACTAATAACAGAAAAAACAACTCGGTAATTTTCTTTTAATAATTCTGAGTCATATTTATCTCCTGCAATTTTATTTGTCATAAAAGAAATACAACAAACCCCTTAGAACAGATCTTCCTTACAACTGTAGGAGCAGCCATTGGAAGAACGAACAGAATACTTACTTTCCTCCAGTAGGCCTCAGATAAATACATGATTTTCTGAGGAGCCCCTGCACATTTCACCGGAGTGTTTGGAAAAGTGAAGATAGCATTTCCTTCCTTGAAATCTTGCAAGGCTTTCCATGTTTTCTCTACTGTATGAACTGAATAATTGGAACCTATTTTAGGGTGATGAAAACCCTCAGGCAAACCTTTGATCTAAGAAAACAAAATTAAGGTTTAACATATAAACAGCAGGAATTTTGTCTTCATCATTGAGTATTAAACGGAGACTTGAGATTTCTCAAGACAATTTAAGAGGCCCACAGCTAAAAAGAGCCCATATGTTAGTTGTATTTTTGAATATATATTTACTACTCAAATAGGTATTTTCATTAGAACTTAGTAGATGACTTAATAGATGAATGTTTACTGAAATGACAGTTCTGCAACATCTGTACTGTAAGTGTTCAGCACAGAGCGAAGCATGAAATTCAGAATAAGAACAAGAAGTCACTGCCTCATCATCATAAGGAAAAACTGACATTAAAAAAGCATTACAAAAATTCGTACGGTGAAGAAAGATTTTCAGTGCTCAGTTTCAGATATCTGAAGTATTTCTTAAAGATATTCTGCTTTGGTTCTGCCTCCAATAATTTTTTTCTCACTACTTCTGCTACGCTCAAGCATCTGTTTTTGAGAAAGGCAGTAGTTTCTGTTTTGAAATAACAGTTTGCAGAACTTCTAAGAGGAAACTGAGTCACATTACATACACTGCAACGTGTTTGAGACACTACACTCTACACCAGGAATTATGCTGTTAGTGAAGACAAATAAGAAAAATCAACCTTTTTAAACTGGCCACTTTGGGTTTAATGCCATACCAATCTATTACTGTGAGTTTTATTTACTACGCTCACTACACAGTAATAGTGACTGACTGCATTACATGGCTTCCAGTGCCAAGTTCTGAATTTCCAAATACTGAGTTTGTTGGTTTTTTTTTTTCAAGCCGTACTGTAGAGATTTACATGGAGACTGAGAAAAACCACTAACACACAGTGCTGTTCCTCATTCTGCTGTGCTCATCAGCTGAATTTCATTCGGTGCCACTCTGGTTAATTAACTCCTGCTTTGTGTGTGTGCCTTGGGAGCTATTAACAAAGAAACTCAAATATATTATTAGTTACTACATCACATTAAACTACATCACATTAAAGTCAGCAGGGCCAGGCCCCACAAACATCCTGCCTTTGTATTTTTCCTCTTCCTGTGCACTGCTACAATCACTCTTGTACCATACAACAGCACTAACACCTTTCTTCAAGTGCCATTGTAGAAAGCATACAGGAAAACTAACAGAGATGGGAAGGGTCCCAGGGCCTATTTAAGCACAGATGTAACTCAGCTGGTTCCTTTTAAAGTGTATCCTTCAAGAGAGGTGGTAGAGAGCGGGTCAAATTGATTCTGCAGGACATATTTCACTAACTGTTGTGAGTTTCTGGTTACATTAGATATGTCTCACCAGCATATCTCACTCGCATTACTGACTGCACTTATGTCTCATTAGCTGATGTTGCCATAAAGATGCCACAAAGCTACCTTAAAAGAGCTTCCTAAGGGTAATTTGGCTTGCTACATACAGATCTATGGAGGGACATACTTAAGTCATTAAGCTGCCTTCTGGTTCTTTACTTCATATTAGTGTTCAGTATCCTGAAGTAGCAAAAGTGTACTGAAAAGCCATTTACTTTAGTGAATCATGAGGGCAAGTGATGCCATTAAAACTAGTAAAAACATAATTACTGTAAAAACAAATACCTTTTCATAATGCAGACTAATCCCAAGGGCAATTATCAGGTACTTGTAAGATATCTGTTGAGTAAGGGAAAAAAAATTAGACAAAAAATAAAAAGACTGAACACAACAAAGTATTACATCACAGCAAATCTAAATTATCTGACAGCAATAGTTTCATAAGGGCAGGCATTAGTAAAGTTGGCATTAAGTTTGAGTAATATTTATTGTTTTATAATTGTTTATAATATTTACTGGATGAGAAGTTACACACACAAGATTTGCTACAACAAAACTAGACATTTTGAGCAAGGTATTCTATACATTAGAATATACTTCTTATAAGACCTAAGCAAATTTCTTAGCCTCCTAGATGCTGGGGAAGGCCTTACTCCATGAGCAGGGGATCTGCAGGTGGACAGATAACTCATGACACAGAATAACATTCTTTTAACATTACTACCTTGACATCATTCTCCAGCCTGACACAGTTCTTATCTGGATCCAATGCTGTAACGCGAGATTTAATCCACTCCACACCTTCAGGCATCACCCTTTCTGTTGGACGTGCAGAAGCTGACAGCTGCTTTGCACCAGCACCTACCAGGGTCCACAGAGGCTGATAGTAATGAGTCTGAAATAAATGTTTTAACAGACATTTAGGAACCATTTAATTGCACTTGATTATGACGGCATATTACTCCAAATAGGAGGCATTGTCTACTAACATTCTATTCTTAACAAAAGAAAGTATACAAATAACTAACAGCTTTGCCTGAAAAAGCTGGAGGGATGTATGCATCTCTGTGATAGGAGAAAAAAACCTCATGCCAAGCTTACTAAATTCAACTTTGTTGGCTTCCTCTCCACAGAAAGTGAGGCTGGAAAGGGATGAGAATCAGATCGAACTGATCACATACATCAAATGCCTTCTCTTTCAGCATAAGGAAGACTTACCTTACTTGGCTCAACCACAGCTACATTTCCTGCCCCCACTTTCCTCTTCATCCGAGCACTCATGGCGATTCCACCGGAGCCTCCACCCAGCACAAGTACTTCATAATAATCCTTGGCAGCACACCCGGCTGCTGTATGCAAACCAAGGAAGCTCTTCTTCTGTATGCTTGCCTTCAGCAGCCATACACCAGGACGGAGACAGGAACAGGACAATGCTGCTCCAAGTGGTGACATCTTTCAATAAGTGGAAGCTGCAAGTTAAGGAAAAGTACCAGTTAATGACATAAGGCAGTTTTTATTTATCTATATGGCCAGATATGTCTTCAAGGTAAGAATTATAACACTAAACTTTTGTTGCAGCTAAAACAATAAACTTGCAAACTGACTGTAAGCAATTTGGAGATTATTAAAAAAAAACAAACCATGGACTCTGCCAGAAAAATAAAACTTCCTACAAGCAAATGAATTCTAACAAATGACAATACATTTTTCACCTTATCTTAGCAGGAAAGCACGTCTGATCCTATAGCATAGCTAGGACATTTGCTGTAACGTTACCACCCTGAAGAGAATAATGTCTCAAAAAAGAAAAGGACTTGCTGGGTTGTAGGATCTGGAGTTGTAGACCATTGAAACAGCAAATGTTAGTTGTGCAAACATCCCAAGTGCCATTCTGCTGACTGTAATGTCAGGCAAATGAATAACTGTGTTTGTATTTTAATGTTAACGTACACCAGCATATGCACAGCACAGACATACGCCCTCTCTTGGCTCTTTGGGCTACAAGACGTCATGGTAATCAAGAGAGTTTTACAGCACTTTGAGCAAGGCACATGGGCTAGTCTACTTTTGCAGGAGAGGTATTGAGCCCTAGGCTTGAAAGGAAAAGAAAGTTCATTGAAACGACACTTTACACCTTCCTAGATTTTGGATATTTGAGTACACCCAAAATTTACAACAGTAAAACAGCTGCAAGCAAAGACCAGAAATCCCTATTTATCATTGCTTACAACTACACTTTTCGCTTGACAAACAAGAGTTAAATCCATGAAGTGCAGCACTGGGGAGTGCAATTACCTTACCTGAAGTCAGTCAAAGTTGATCCCCATAAATATGTTTCCCTCCCTCTGCTACAATGAACAAGATCCTTCCTTCTTATGAATACATTACTTGCACATGATGAATACCACTTTGAAGCTTTTCAGTAATAAAACAGGTATAAACTCATTTTAATTCATTTCCTCATTGCAACATTGCCAATAAGGTGTTACGACTTGAAAAGAAACTTATGACAGGATTTTCATCTACATCCTGTTGTTTAATTCCTTGAATCATTGTGCAGGAACTCCAGCTTTTTCACTTCAGAAGGGCAGACTTTGAATATGACTCTTACAGAGAGGAATTTGAAAACTAAATCAGAGAATTCAAATATTTTCAAGAAAAGTTCCAAAGGTCAACATCAAGAATTCTCTACAAAACCATACGTCTAGTTGAGCAACTCATTCTGCACCTTCACGTGCCGTCTTAAAATCCTTCACTCGAGTATCCCAAATTGTTCAGAAATGCTGTTATTATCCTCAAAGCATAAACAACTTAGGAAGGAGAAGAGGAAATGTAGGAAGTATCCTTGGTATAAGTTATTTTTCCCACTTTGTTTTAAAGGAAGGTCTCAAGGTATAGATATGTTCTTCTTATCCTCTTTCCTACAGAAGAACACCAACTCCAGGTATGTTAGTTTCACTTTAGAAGGTTGCTTCTGTTTACCCAGAGCAAAATCTATCTAGTGCAGATGCTTCGTACTCCCTCCAAGAAAGAGGAGTTTTTATGCTGAATAATTTCTGCAACTTCCGTCTGTGACAGCTTTAAGGACAGCTTGTTCCTGGAAGTTCATGAACCCAGGGTTTGTGGTTGGGTTTCATTAAGCAAGTGAAACAGGCACAGTGACCAGCTGCTCAGCGGTGCACAGCATGCCCAGACCAAGGGAACAGGACTTCATTTTTGTAATGCTAAGTAAGGGACAATTATCCTCTCTGAGTAGATTTTGAATTAAGCATGCTTATAAACACACGCAAGATGTGCCTTAACTAACAGCCATCTAATGGATTAGGGTGCAGCATTTCTTTGCTCTCAAGTTGTTTTAGAGCACGCACAAACAACAATCTGAAACGTCATTTGTAGGCAGATGTTCAGAAACAAACAGCAAAATTCTTGGTATCAAACTCTCAAACTAACAGCTGCACTCCATCAACCACACATCAGTCCTCTGATTTGGGAACTGGAGAGAAAGGGAATAACAGAACTGAAAGAAAAAATAGAAAATCACTGATCAGTCTACTGAATTGAGCTGAAGTCTTAAGCTTTTAAAAGACCACTGTAACATAAAGCAATCTTACCAAGCGTCCTTTGAACTACACACAACAAAACACCCCTTATGTTGCATGAAATCACATGCTGATGTGCTTCAGAGCACTCCTCCATTCAGTGACGGCTCCTCTTCACCCATGACAACTGGTTTAAAACTAGTTCTGTTACTGTGAGAGGTAAATTTATTGTGAATGCTTTCAGGACATGGTTTGTTACAGTGACGGAAGCTCGTGTAATGCTACTGCAGCACAAGTCTTGTAGCACCACGTAAAAATCAGGTCACAATGTGACTCATAGCAAGTTCACCACAAATGGCGTTACTGTGAGGAGGGGTAGCATTTAAAAGCTTTTATAAAACAGTCTTAGCTTGAAGATAATCTCCGATTCCATCTATAACTCTCTCGTCTCTTTTACTGTAAAGCTATTTGTAGAAAAAGGAGATTCAGAAAAGAAAAAACGTGTTGATGTGGTAATAAAGATTATATACTTTGTATTATATACTATACTATATATTGTATATGCACAATTCTGGAATAGCTGCCTAATGCTAAAGAAAATGTGTTGAAAAACCACAGTTACACTGACCAGGAGAGCTCAGTATTATTTGGCCCCTGAATCCCATTAAACAGATGGAGATTACATCAACAGAACAATAGTGACTTTCCTGTCAAAAACAAATATAGGAAACTTTTTTTTCCAGAATTAGCAGCCTACAGACCTTTAAGGGACTGAGAACACAAAACAAGAACCATCCTTGTTAAGCTGCCATCGAAAAAAAACAAGCAAACCACATTTCTACAAGCATAATAGAGAAAATCATTGCCAACTTTCTATTAAGTTTAGCTTGAAAGAAAAACCTGGCTGAAAATGATCCCAACCCCCACTCAATAAAACAGCAAACTCAGCAGAACAGAAATGGTGTTCCTAGCATAAAATGTGTTCCTAAAGCCAAATCACACAGCAGCTTGGATCACAGGGCACCCTACAGCCCCCCAGCCTCTGCCATGGGCTGTGTGCCCCCAGCTCAGCTCCCAGGGCCACTCAGCCTGGCCTTGGGCACCTCCAGGGATGGGGCACCCACGGCTCCGGGCAGCCCATGCCCGGGCCTCACTGCCCTCTGAGTGAAGAGCTTCTCCCTCACATCTAACCCCAATCCGCCCTCTCTAAGCTTAAAGCCAATCCGTCTTGCCGCACCACTACCAGACCGTGCAAAAAGTCGCTCCCCCTGCTGCTTGTAAGCGCCCTTCAGGCACTGGAAGGCTGCTCTCCGCGGAGCTTTCTCTACTGCAGACCGAAGGAGCCCAAACCTCAGCCAGCTCCGCAGAACCCACGAGGAGAGCAGTTACTGTCAGCGACAAGCCATCTCGGGAGCCGTCTGACGCCGGGAGCCGAGCGGAGCCGGGTTAGAGAAGTCTGAGCGCAGAAAGTAAACAGCACGCAGCCATCCCTGAGCGGCCGGCGTTTAGCACGCTACCTTCCAGCGCTCCGAGCACCCTAACATGGCACCTCACGCGCCGCCAGAGCACGGGCCCCTCCCGCCCCCTGCAGGGTGAGCCCCGGCCCCTCGCACCGCGGCCCACGAGCTCCGCTTGACCTCTCACCGTCCCGCCTCGTACTCGCCTGCCCGTCGCTCCGCCGGAGGGGCCCCGAGCGCTGCCGGATCGCGCGGCCGCCCCTCACGCGACGAGCGCCGGGTGCTGCCCCCGGGGGCGCGGCGGGGCGGAGCTGAGCGCCGCCAGGTGCTGAGCGGCAGCGGGCGGGCGAAGGCCGGGAGGGCGGTGAGCCCCGCTGCTGCTGGCTCCAAGCCTGCCCCGTACCTCCGGCTCTGAATAGATTTCGTTATCTAGCAGTTTCACTCGGTAACCTTCGCGTGGTAACTTTTTTTTCACTGCACCAAAATCGGAAAACAAAAACAAACCAACCGTCAAAGCCTCAGAGTGAAACCAAGTTGCAATTCAGCTCAACGCACCCAGCAAAGGATCCCCTCAGCCCGCTACAAGCTGCCGAGCTCGGTCTTGCTGTGTTCTCCCCAAAGCCTTTATAGGGCCTTTGATTTATGGCATGGTGAGAGGTGAAGTAGCAACAGTCGTTAATCCACTGAGTCATGTTTGTTGAGCCAAGAAAAGTCATGCAAACATCAGAGCTGAGAGAAGCATGCAAAGACAAAATTACTTAACATTACTTATTTGAAATCATCAGAGGAATTAAAAAACAAACAAAAAAAAGCAGCGACCCACATCATGAAACGTTTCCTTCTTGAGCTTTGGCCTTCCCGTCTCGGCACGTTTTCTGCTTAGGCAGAACTGCTGAGCTGATAACAGCATTCGTGGAAAGCTGTAAAGAATGAGGCAAAGGTGCTGAGGGCTTAAATTGGAAAATACCATCAAGCTTTTTCACAGTCCTCGTGCAAGAGAGAAAAGGAGCTGGGAATGGGCCATCTGCAGGGTGCTTCCCTGCTTGCCAACTGCAGCTGCCCGCTGTACCTGAAGCACTGCTTTTTGCACATCTTCCTTCCAAAAGGCTGATGCTCTGAGAATTTTTATTTTTTTCACAGAATATATTTAGAATAGTTTTTAAATATTTTCCTAATGTTTTTCCCCACAGAGTTCTTACAGAATTTTGCAATATTAAAGAAATAAATGTACCCCTTGAACAACTTATAAACACACAGACCAAACACGAGGTAGGTACCTTGAGCACAGAGCCGTCCTGTGGCTGCCTGGGGAGCTGCCTGGCACCTATAGTGGCCAGGTCCAGGAGAGATGAAGGAGGGAAGGCATGCTGCCTAGCTGTGCACTTGGGGCTGCTGGCACCTCAGTGGGCCATGGGAGTGACAGGTAATGCTCTCTGCCCGGCAGGCAGCTGAGAAGCCTGGTGCACGCAGCCTAAAGATATTGCTTAATCTGTTCGATATACTGATGCTCCCCCGGACAGCTTGGTGAAATCTAAGCTAAAAGTAATGACCTTCCACAAACAGCCATCTGCTTTAGTTCAGCTGAGGTGCCTGAAGCAGCTGCTGTCTTTGTGGGTAAGGGAAGCCATTTCTAGTCAGCCCTCCTTTCCCAGCACGGCACTGGATCTGCCCAGCCAAGTACATTTCAATATCTGCCTACAGCAATGTATTACTTATCAGCTCACACCTTCAAAGAGAACTATACCTCCCTTTACTTTTCTAAATGCAATTTATATGTTTTTGTCTAGACTTCAACAGTGAGCTCTCCAAAGTGGGTATTATTTTCCATTGGAAAGTGCCTACCTGACAGCAAGTACAATCCCAAATGAATTCTGTAACACTGGACGATGTAGAAGAGAAGCAGTAATCCTTTCACATTATCTTTGATGTTTTCTTTTGGAGATATTCCTCTAGCATACCTCTAAATCAGAGCATCGCTAGATTAGCAGAAGAGCAGCAGTAGTAAAAGCAAAGCAAAGCAGAAGCAGAAATAAAAATACATTCTCATACATGGTGTACCTGCATGATTTCTACCCAATTTTAAGGACTGGAAAAATCAGCAACCTCTGTTGAGCTGCTGAAGGACTGGAACACTGCTTTTAGGCAATGGGGCAGCAACAGGTTCCAATTGACTGTTCTGTAATTACTCTTGCAGGCTGTATTTGCACAGGATATTACTCATTACCTGGGACTCTCTGAGATGACAGGAAAAAAATAAAACAAATCAAACCCCACAGGTCTTGCTCATCAAGGCAATACACCAGATTGTAAATTTACAGGTCTTGTTTTCAAGACAATCTTGTTTTCACAGCAGTTCTGGAGCATATATTTATTGCAATATGTTAGACAGAGTAGCTCAGCCTTTTCTCTCACAACTCACTGTCAGTGACAGTGCCAAACTACTGTTACTGTTTTAGAGATTAATGCCTTCAAACGTGTAGATTTGAAAATTATTCTACATCAAGCTTTAATTGATTTGCTTCATTAAGTTGCAATCCACTTGTTGCAAGAGTTCCACAGAATTTTTTTCTCCTATTTGCTGTTTTTTTCCCCTCACATTTTCTAGGCAGGATATTTGATTTGTTTTCTTAAACCCCAAGACTTGACATCATAGATATAAATGGATGGATGGGAAACAAGGAGAAATGGAAGTATTAAGTTGGCAGGCACAGCCAACATCAGTGCTCACATCCTGAGCAACACTTAGAGTAGGGATGGGAGGCAGAGTGGTAAACTCCCAGATCTGCCACTATCAGCAGTTGCTGTCTGGAGGAAAACAGATAAGTCCTCCACATTACCCCTGTTGTGACCCTCTTAGGTCCCAACTTACAGCTCTTCTGTGACAGTTCTATCAGGCCAGATGTTCTTTATATAAACCACGTTACATCATGCATTCGCACAACTAATCCAAGGGGGGGGGAGAAATATCAACCAATCAACCAACAATTAAACCACTTAGATTTAAAAAAATTACTCCAACATTGAAAATCCAAGCACAGAATTAAAAAAACCAGCAGTGTTGCAAAGCAAACGGTAGGTGGCAGAAAGAGTCTACTGAAGCACCACCGGGAATAAATCGGCCAGAGGACTCCCATAAAGGAATGCCAACAGAACAGCTGCATAAGCAAGTACTATGCACGGTACTATTTATGCCTATTATCACTCAAGTCATGGCACATAGACTAAAACCAGGTAGCATATTCTGTTATTATTTTCCAAGAGGAAAATATAAAATATTTACTATGCCCATAAAGCAAAGTTACCAACGTCAGCAAAAAAGTCAATTTTCACTGAATTAAAAAGTTGGCCAAAATGAACCAGAACAGTGGTGGGAGTGGGTACCCAAATTAAGCACACACGTTAAATCTAGTGATAAAAGCACAGGAAACCAAGATTCCTCAGTCAGCACTCGTAATTCACAATAATTCATACATTTGTATAATCTTACAAAATTGAAATTCAAAATGGTGCTGCACGTTTAAGTGAATTCCACTGCAATGACCTTATGGTTCAGAAACAAGTTGGTACAATGAGTAAGAAGATGTATACAGGAATAAAATTACTCAGTCTAGCAAAAAGCATTGATTTTTATGGTTAGAATTCTGCATTTTCAGTAGAAGTGACCATGGTATTTGGGGGGGGGGCAACAAGAGGGGGTGGAAAGAGCAAAACAGTTCACAAGCTTTCCCCCCAAAACAAGCAGACAGAGAACCTACCAACCAACACACAACATGAAACACTGAATTGGATACCAGCTGAGGTAACATCAAATGAGAAAAATCAAAGGAAATTAATCTTGATGATTAAGGATGAGGCATTTCATTTTAATAAGAATTGTCTAAATTTCTAAAAACTAATTCTGAAGTTACATTATAAAATAAAAAAAAAAACTTAACAATATTCAGTTATGTACATTTTGCTCCAAAAATGGACTGCAGAAATTCTTTAACATTTCTTTCAGAAATACACATAAACCACAGCACTGGCAATCCACTGGCAATTAAGACAAAACAAAAGCCAACTTCAGTTTTATCCTATTACTACTTCAGAAAAGGCATTTCAGACTACTTCAATAGTTTGTTCTCCTTGCTCCAAACACACAAAGTGAACTGCAATGTTTTGCTGACTACTCATAACAGTAGGTCTTTCAAAGAAAAAAAAAAAAAATCTTACAAATAGAAATTAGGACTTCAGAAAAAATGCAGCACAGTAGAGTCCAGGCCCTGAGTCCAAGGAGTTCACACGAAGTGCTGCAAATAATTCAATTCAGAGAAATGATATCAACAGCCATACAATATTTATCATTACATTCATTAATAATGATCATTTTAAGTAAGGACAACATACAACACTAGCTCACATAGCCCATAAATGCACATGAATAAATGAAAAAAAAATGCACTAACTTTTCCTACAAATAACTGAATTCCACATAAAAACGAAATTGTTGAGCTCAATTACTCACACAAAAGGAAAAACCAGTAAGCAACTAAATCAAGGTTGTAAAAAAAAAAGTCTATTTCTGATTCATGGCATTGAAAAGAAATTACAACTGCCAGAATCAATGCAGATTGGGAATAACAGATGGGCTCTGCAGTCCAGGTACCAGCATTGAACTTTAACAGCTACGACTCCGTATTTTGTCTGGAACGTAAATATGCCAATCACCAAACAGCTCTCAGAATTCTAAGCACCAGATATTTCAGTTATAGATATTTAAATACCCACGATGCCTAGGTTCTCCAATATACATATATATATTTATATATACAAAATTAACTTATACTGTAATAGTATCAAACTGCATAGCTTTACAAAAGAAGGCAACCTGAATGACTGAAGTGAAAAATTTGAATCTGATTATTAACATTCTGGAATTTATAACACCAGAGTAGACTGTTGTTAGTAATAACTATAGCCTGGTTTAATCAAAGTTTGCCTTAATTCCAGAGAATGCAGAAATGATTAATTTGGACAAGTTGTTGCATGCTCTGCTTTCACGTCCTCCTTGCAGGTTTTGCTGTTAGCTGCTTCTCTCTCTCTAGCTCCTTCTCACGTTGCTGTTCTCTTTCCAGTTCTTCTTTCTGCTTCTTTTGTTGTAGTTTAAGTGCTCTTTTCTAAATAGAAAAGGAAAAAAAAAGTCTTACAGTGGAATTTGGAACTAATACAAAATCCTTCCTAACACTCTTAACACTCCTCCCTCTTAACATTCTCTTCTCCAATTCACAGAGGTTACAACTGAATGTTCTGTAAACTACTTCAATGTTCTTCCTCTCTTCTACTTCCATCCTTCTTAAAAACAGAATCTCTAACCTACACGACATAAGGGATGAGTTAGTGAGGTTGAAGGGAAAACAGTTTATATTTTCATGTATCAGATAAGGTGTGTACTGTGCAATGTGTTCTTTTAATTGAACACACCGAAAGACTGATCTTGCCAGAACTAACTAGCAACTGCTTACATAGCATGAAGTCAGTGAACCTGTGCCACTAACAGTACATTAAACAGAGAAAAGTCTTGCATTTATGACAGTCTAGTCCTCATTGTAACAAGCACAGAAACTGAAACAATGAAGAGAACTAGTTGGCATGGAGCAGATTAAGAGACAGAACGAAGTATGATTCTTGTAATGTACTGCTTCACCATGAGGACAACTCAGAGACTCACTAATAAAGATACTTATGTTGTATAAACATAGAAAGCAGTAGACAGAAGTTTGAGAACAGGTGGTTAGGTGCTTCTGAAAACATGGAAAAAACATTTACGAATGGTATTTAACAGAGATTCTATTTTCACCAGAGTTTTCAGCATGTATCCAAAATAAAACTTAAGACAATAATACATAACTAAATTGCTATGTAGGAAAGTAAGAAAAATTAATCAACTCACTTTTAACTTAGATGTCTTCTCATGGAGCATCATCATGTCATTTCTGATATTCACTAACTTGCTGTGATAGTGTTTAGCTTCTGTAAACTTCAAAAACACAGCAGTTAAGGCAGCAACTGTCAAGTTGAAAAACTTGAAAAACTTTTTTTATTTTTAATAACTCTACACATCAAAACAGTAAGTACTAATACAGCATTGCCAGAACAGTTTGGTAATAGTTTAAACATGTTCAAGTTTATGTTTAAAGCTTACATACTACATAAATACAGAAAACTATCTGAATGTTATACTCTGATGGAAAGCACAGCAGGGTGGCAAAGTCCTAGGCTACAGCAGATGAGGATTAGCCCCAGTGCAGCAGCCATGGAGAAAGTGAGACAGAAAGACAGACAGAAAGACACAAACAACGTGCTTACCCTTGAAAGGCCTCAGGCAGGCAGGGATTTCCAACAAGATACCCTCATCTCCACTGCCAAGCCTTAAATGAGGTCTGGGAAGGGGTGGATCCTGGCTGCACCCCTTCCAGTCATTAAGATGCACTACACTGCACTGCATGCACCTGAGCGCCCCTGGGTTGGCCCTGCCTGTCCACCAGGTACTCAATCAGCTGGTGACTGAGCCATGACTTAGCATTTCTGCTACACTATCATATCTCAGTGGGTACACCCAGCCCTTTACTGAATTAAGATTCACCAAAATGGAATAAAAGTATTGCCAATTTATGTACCACATGTGTCTCAAGCACATTTTCTGCTACACTAGACGCGTGCACAGAGCTCACCTTGGAACCTCAGTCCTGCTCAATAAATGCATATGTTTGCTTTGGCTACTGGCTTAGAAAACTAGACTGACTGCTCTTTCTCCCAGTGCCTCCTCTATTTAATGGAAATCTGCTGGTTCTGCATCCTCTCCAGGAGGAATTTGTCCCATGTATTTCAACTCGTTGCTAACCTTCCTGCAAGTTATAAAGAAAAAAAATAAAAGTTGCTACTAATACTTCAGCAGGAGAATCCACACTAGTAGGGATTTATAAAAGCATTAATAGTACTTACCAAGGCATTGATGTCAATTATGAAGTTACACTCCTTGAATTTTGTAATTTCTTGTTCTAATGTTTCTAGTAATACCACTTGGTTCTGTCTGAAACAAGAAAAAAATCCATAAAACTAGAGAAAAGCAGCACAGATGAAGGAGTTTAAGGATAAGCAAAAGTTAGGTATACAGAGCAGATATTTCTCACTCAGTGCTTCCCAGCATCAAGTTCTCCTTACGGATTGCTAGCTGATTTCAGCTGATGCAAGTAAATGGTTTTTGAAAAATCCCAACTGAGACACACAAATTCAGTTTTTTGCTGCCTAATATTGAACAGGATGATAAGAAAACCAGGATGACACCTGAAAACCTCCAGCGACAGAGGCACTAGACAAGTTTCAGCAACTAAATACCTCTGTGCAGGGACAGGTTGAATGAAGGGAAAACTACTTCCTCTTGTCTTTCTACTCAGTTGCCTCTGAGTCATGCTGCAGCACATTATTTCTGCATAGAACCTGTGTGGGTCCACAGTGCTTATCAAGAATCTTCCATCCCACACAGATCAGCTAAATTCCTTCCAGACACAAGCTGTCCTTGGCAGCAGCATAACCACATTATGCATCGTGAAACTCAAAGCAGTGTACCCCACAGAGCTTAGATGGCTCTGTGTAAAGCCCCCTCCAGTTACTTCATATGGCAGACCCAGCCCACATTTGAAACAAACTATTCTCAATTATCAGTGAGATAACAGCGCATAAAGAATTTATATCTTCTTAGCAATATTTTCAGCTACACAGTTTACAAACTGTATAGCAACAATATACTGCACTACAAGCAGCTGTGAACACAAAGGCTACTGCTACAAAGTACGTCTATTGTTTTCAGCAAACTCTGCATTATGGAACAAGTATATAAGAAATTTGCCCATCTGCTGTGCCTGGCTTGTGGGAATTTAATGTTCTAGTGCTGGACGCCCCTCAGACAAAATTCAACGGACAACACTGCAGCTTGTACACCTCCCAGTACTCTGAGAAGCAGAACTGCTCAAAATGGTACAGTCAGAATGTAGAAATGCTACTACAAACTGACTTCCAGTTAAGCTAGAACATCACATGGAAAAAACAGCATGAATATAAAGGGAGCTGCATTTAAAAACCTGCTTACGTAAGTTCCTGCAGAGCTGATTTGGATCTCTGAAGATCAGGCAAATAGTGAGAAATCAGCCCTTCAGTCAGCTGCTCCACTGCTCTCTCATCTATAACGGGCAGATCTGCTTCGACCCCTTCATCTGGGGAGGCATCACCGGCACCTGCGGGAGAAGAGCAAAGTAAGCGGGGTCGGGCAGCACTCCAGGCCTCCCCGACAGCAGCGGTACGTCCCTGCTTAAAAACAAAGGCATTTCAGCAGCGCACCGCACGGTGCTCCATACCGCTCTTCTTCCCTCCCTCGGCCTTGCCCCGTGAGCTCCGCCGGCGCGGTCACCTCACGGCCGGGCAGTGCCAGAGCGGGAGGCGGCGGACGGGGCGTTCCAACGACGCGCGGCGAGAGCACGGCAAGTAGCGCAGCACACAAACAGGAGCCGTGACACGGCCGCTGCTCTCGAAGCCAGCGCGCACTGCCGCCTGCCCAGCGGTGCTACTCGGCCTTCCGCGCTCGGCCGCCACTCACGTACCCGACGCCCGCCGGCTCCTGGCCGCTTTCTCCTCCTCCTCCGCGCCGCTCATTGCCGGCGCTCCCTCAAGCGCAGGGTCCCGGCCGTCCGCGCCGACGCCCTCAGCCGGCCCTCGCCGCACAGCCGCGCCCGCCGCTCCGGATGCGGAAGCGACGCGCGGCCCGCGGGGTGGGAGCGCTCCGCCGCCGGGGCTCGGGGCGGCCGTGGGGAGCGGCTGAAGTGCTGCAGAGCTCGGCCTGCACGGAAAGGCCGCTTCCTGCTCCGAGTCGCTGGCTCAGGGGTGACGGGAAACTTCAGGCTTTGTGAGTGAGGGCTGCGCAGCTCGCAGATGGGGCTCAGAAAGAAAAGTGAGATAATCCTTCTGATGTAGCCGTGCTGGAGCCGTGGGCGTTTCGGATTTGTGCTCTGCCTGTTCCGGGCATCCCACGCCCTGCGGGAATAGGCTGGATGGGAACTTAAATTGGGTGCCTGCTTCTCCAGAGCGCTTAAAGCTTGTTTATCGAACCCAGCGCCCCAAAAATGAGGTTGACAGAAGTCTCTCTTTCTCCCTTTCCCGTGCTCAGCGATCCTGTGTCGCTCACGCGAGGAGCTCTGTTACAGTGGAAGGGCTGGATGTAGCTGCTCCAGGCGCTGCTGAGTTCGGGACCTGCGAGGCGTTCAGCAAGGATTTCTTCTGACAGAGAAAGGAAAAGCGAGTTAAATGAAACCTGCAGTAAGGACCATAAGCATTTGATTAAGAGGCACGCTCACCTGCTGCTCTGAACATTTAATCTCAAGGAGCTGTGAAAAAGCTTTACTAGCATTGACTCTGTTATCTCAGCTCTTCCTGCAGCGTTCTGATCCTTACTTGGTAACTTCTTTGGCCAGTTCAAAAAAATAGAGCATGTGCTTTCCCTCACCACACTGTGTTTTTCCAGGAAGGTTTATTGGTCAGGAACAGAACAGTGACAACGTTTGGGCATAGGCTGGCCCTGAGTACGTGTAGGCTGTCAGTTAGACTACCAGCCACGGTAGCAGGTAAATACTGTTTTGTCAGAATTCGTAGAAGCAAAACTCGAATCCCTTTTAAGCCAGAGGACAGCTTAGATGACGCTGGGCCTCGTGTCTTGTTTTTCCCTGCATCCTTAGGCGATGAGGCCCCTGGGGCGCAGCACCAGCCGGCAGCAGTTGAGCAGCGCACAAGGAGCGGTGCTTCTAGGGGAAAGAAGGAGGCTGCACGCTGCTAACTCGTGACCGCGGCACCGAACGACCCGGTCCCGGGCATTCAGCGCACGTGACAGCAGCCGCCCGCTTGCCAGCGAATCGCCTGCGGGACGGCGGCGGCGGCGGGGCTCGAACCCGCGTCCCTCGGTCGAGCGGCGCAGGCGCGGTGCCGTGGCGGCGACCGGCGGGCGATGCCGGTGGCCGTCCCCGCCCGTCCCTCCGCCGCCGTCCTCCGCGCGGCTTTCCCGGGCTCGTCGGGTCGAGGCGCGGTCCGCGCGGCCGCGATGCCCGGAGCGCGGCGCTGAGCGAGGTGACGCGCATGGCG